CACCATCAAAAACCTGTTGACAGGCTGGAAGGCCTGGGACACCGAGACAGCCTGCTGCAGAATTTGGAGCCTCAGGAGGAACCAGAGGGAAGGGTCCAAAGGGTCCGAAGGGAATCCACTCAAGAGGACAGGAAGGTCATCTACAAAGCGCTGCTCTGGACCGCCAGCTCAGCCCGCTTCATCGGTGTTATGGGAGGCCTTATCGCTCCTCCCAAGGAGATAAACACACGAAGGTGAGCAGGCAGACCACTGCTCAAGGCCCGCTAGGAAAGCTGGCCTCTCCAACCTGCTGCCGCAGTCAGACCCGAGCCTCAGATGGTCTCTCCCAGTAAGGCTGCTTGGCGCTTGACAGTGTATAATCAGGAGGTTCCTCCCTGAGAGGCCTGTGGGAGGTGGGCAGGCAGCCAGGACAATCCCAGAGAATGCCGCGTGCCACAACTGTCAGGCCTCAGAACCCATGATGTAATGCCTCTCCAGGGGCCAAGGAAAACAAGCCCGCTGTTGTCACTGCCCTCCCAGCAACTGGGCACTGCCCTCCCCATGGCACGGCTGTTCTGCGTAATTACGAACCCACTCGCTCTCCTTGGGAGGAGGAAATATGAAAACCTTTGTTGTCACATAAAAACCAACCCAAGATAGGAGAACTGTCTTTTAGATACATCTTGCTGTAGAGGGATTTCCATAGCAACTTCAGAAGTGTGTGTATACTAGAGATAAGTCCAGGCTGATGAAAGCCACCTGGAATGTGAACAGGCTCTGGGCATCAGCAGCTGTGGATTTTTCTAGAACCTGTCATGATGCTGTGTGACCCTGGGCAAGTCACTTACACTCTCTGATGCCTAAGGTGATAGAATCATCATCAGATCAGGCTGAGAGAGATCAAGGTCATCTTGTCCACACCACCCTGGTCTGATGCTTCAGTTCCCCAAAGCTTCCCCTGCTTCTCGCCTCTGTCAGTCTCTGGCTGAGTAAGGCCTGCCTCAAGGTCTCTGCCAATCTTATTATTTGACATTGGGAAAGACCATGATCACTTAAACTTGATTCTAAAAATATTGCTTAGTCTTTGTAAGAGAAGTGCTTTGCCTGTTTAGGAATCAATATTATTAATAGGGCAGATTCCTGGGAAAGAGTCTCTGAGATGCTGAGATTTGGGCGTGGGAGTTTTACTGGGGCTGCTCTCAGGATCAATACCTGAGGGGTATAGGGGAAGCTCCCTGGTGCAGTGGCAACAGGGCCCTTAGGTGATCCCTCAGGGACCCTGGAGTGTCCTGCTAGAAGCAAAAGTGGCTGGCCTTTGAACTCCCACCCTGACAGATTCCCCTGGGAGTTTGCTGCCCCCCCAGGCAAGGGGCTTGATCTTAAGAGAGGGCCTCGGTCACAGTCCCCGCTGAGGGAATGAGAGCCCGGCCCTGGAGGGGGCATCTGGTGACTCAACCCTCCATTCACTACGTGGATGTGTTTGAATTGAATATGAAGGCAGCCCGGGGGCTAGCACGATAACAGGGTAAAGACCGTTAGGCAGCGAGGCAGGCGAAACAGCAAGACTGGGGTTCACATGTTGGTGTCAGTGGCCTGGAGACTCTGAGATCCAGCAAGCTGCCAGGAGAGTCGAGGCCATGATTTCCTTGTATATGCAGGATTCAGCCTGGGCTGGTGGCACACACGTGAACTTCAGAGTCAGAAACGAGTTCAGATTCTGGCTCCACGCTTACTATTAATAGCTCTGTGACCTCGGGCTGGTTACTTTCGATCAGTTTCCTCAACGCTACCATGGGCCTTCATGTCCAATTCAAATACATCCACACGGTGGATGACACGTTGCTTCATCCGGATGCCCCTCCAGGACCCGGCTCTCATCCCTCAGTCAAGGTACCTCTCACAGATCCGTCGTGAGGGCACGCTGGGATGGCATGTGGATTTTACACAGAACTAGCACAGGGGAGCTACAATAGCATCCATCATGCTTTCATACACCTCATGTTACACCTAAGTCTTTGATCAAATGGCCATTTCGCAAGAGAAGGGAACATTCGGAGAATTTCCGATTTGCTCCTTGTTTCTCTGTGCCTTGGTCTCAGCTGGGGCTTGTGAGCCATGTCTGCAGAGAGAGAGAGAGAACGAGAGACCCAGTGGCCCACCGGCGGCCAGGGTAACCATTCTCAGCTTGGAAGCTATGGACAGCCATGCAACATCAAATAAGAGGCATCGGCCGGGCGCGGTGGCTCAAGCCTGTAATCCCAGCACTTTGGGAGGCCGAGGCGGGTGGATCACAAGGTCAAGAGATCAAGACCATCCTGGTCAACATGGTGAAACCCCGTCTCTACTAAAACTACAAAAAAAAAATTAGCTGGGCATGGTGGCGCGTGCCTGTAGTCCCAGCTACTCAGGAGGCTGAGGCAGGAGAATTGTCTGAACCCAGGAGGCGGAGGTTGCGGTGAGCCGAGATTGCGCCATTGCACTCCAGCCTGGGTAACAAAAGCGAAACTCCGTCTCAAAAAAAAAAAAAAAAAAAAAAAAAAAAAAAAAAAAAAAAAAAGAAAAAAAAAAAAAAAAAAAAAAAAAAAAAAAAAAAGGCATCATCTAAGTACTGTGCAAACTACGTTCTTTAAAACAAGCTTTTTTTCCCCAGGGAACATAGAGTCACCCCTTCTTACGATAGGTTCGATAAACTATGACTCACTTGCAGGTACTTTGTTGCCTGTTCGGCCTGTTTGCACATCTGAAATACATGCCAGAGACCATCTGAGGACGTGAAAGGCTTCAAATAGCTTAAAGGGCTACACAAATTCCATTATTATTGTCGACAGACAACGTGGCTTCCATCAATTAGAAAGGAAAACAGGAAGAGTATAGGCCAGCGTATGGTCGAAGTTGGGCCGTCCTAATTGTAAGAAGGCAGCACAAAATTCCCAAGCGTTATCAAGGGATCTATGCTATTATTATTCATTTTCACCATGACTGGATTGCAATGCATAGTGCATATATACGACCTTGCTTGACTCTAATAAGAAGTCCTGTATCCGGCTTTCACATGCGAAAATTGAGGTCCAGAGAGGTGAAGTGATGGGCACGATATTGCTCAGCTAAGAGTACCATGAGCAGTTTGGGGTCGGAACCCAAGCCCGTGCTTTCTCCATTGCGGGAAGAGTGTCTGCTTACCGGAGAAGGTTCGTGAAGCCCCGTGCAGTGTGGTCCCACTCAGAGTGGATGCTGCAATGTCAGCTGCTGAGTCATGGCGAGGTTCTGAATAGGGGAGCGTAGTGTGTCCCTGGGGCTCTGTGTGTGAGAAAGGTCTTCCAACACCGCACTGGCTCTCAGAGCCTGAACCTGCGTCCTGGAGGGCACTTGTTTTGCGGCAGCAGAATGCCCTCCTCAGTTTGACCGTGTGTCTGCTGCCCAAAACGCTGAAAGAAATGTCTGCAAACAGAACGTCTCGAAACAGGGAAGAGATGTGGTTCAAGGCACCCATGTGGGGTGTGTTTACACTACCTCCTCTCCAGACTTGTCTTGTTTGACCTCTGCCAGGACACAGGTACATGGAAGGTCTGGCGATATAATTACAAGTGTTGACGAATTAAGGGTGACTACCAGGATCTGTGTAAATTACAGGGGATGCTTTACCATACTTCCCAGCATAATAAAAATAATCGATCTCAAGTAAACACAGCTTCATTCTATCTCAAGTGATTCTCATTTTAAAATGAGGAAACTGCGGCCCAGAGAGCTTAAGTAACTTATCCTCGGTTTCACAGCTACTTAGGGGCAGAATCAAGGTTTCTAACCTAGATTTGGACGCACATATCAAATCAGATTAAAACGATATACAGGGCTGGGTGCAGTGGCTCACGCCTGTGATCCCACAATTTTGGGAGGCCGAGGTGGGCGGATCACTTGAGGCCAGGAGTTCGAGACCCCAGCTTGGCCAACATGGTGAAACCCCACCTCTACTAAAAACACAAAAATTAGCCTGGTGTGGTGGTGCATGCCTGTAATCCCAGCTAGAGGGGAGGATGAGGCAGGAGAATTGCTTGAACCCGGGAGGCAGAGGTGGTAGTGAGCAGTGATTGAACCACTGCACTCCAGCCTGGGCAAGACAGCGAGACTCTGTCTTAAAAATAAATAGATAAATAAATAAAATGAATATCCAGGACCCCTTGTGAGGGAGAAGAGTCACGAAAGGCAGCTCGAGGGTGGCGGGAGGAGGTGGCCTCAGTCCTACCCTTGAGTCTTGCTGACGGCTTCCCCAGGGAGTTGGCATTTTGTTCTAGAGCCCTGGATCTCCAGCAGGTCACATCTCCCTTCTATCCCACCAGTAGCTTCTCTGAATCATTCCCAACCACCATCCTCCTAAAACAACGTTTCCCAAAGTATGTTCCATCAGTACAGTGCTTCTCAAACTAAGGTGCATATGAATCACCAGGTGACCTTGTTAAATGCAAATTCCGATTCAATCATTCCAGACTAAGGCCTGAGATTCTGGGAATTCTAACAAGTTCCCAGTGATGCCAATGCTGCTGGTCTGTGAACTAAACTTTGAGTAGCAAGGTACCAATAGCGCTTTATAATAAAAAGGATTTGCGAGCAAATACGATTGAGAAAGTCTGAACTCAACAAAAATAAACTGGTTTCATTACTGCAGGACTTCTCAGAGCCTTTAAAATGCTAATAAGCATTGTTAATCCCCAAGAGGGAGAAATTGTAACATGGTATACGTGCATTAATGATGTAACCAAAATGCTCTGATATGTTGGTTTGCAAAGAGGGAACAGAAAATCAGGAAAATTCTGTGCCTTTTTCCCACCTTACCTTGGTTCCAATGCTGCAATTCCGGCTCATGCTCAACCCAACTCAGCACTCCCCGCTTTCCCACTGTCTCCTTCCAGGTGTCTGGGTACATGCCTGTCTCCTCCATCAGACCATATACCCCCTGGCACCCCTGCTCCTCCTCCCTTCCCTGTCCCAGCACAGGCTCTGCACTCAGAAGGCCCCAGGTGGACTACCTTTCACAGACGCGGACGGTCCAGGCAGCAATGATCCACAGAGAGATACTGAACACGAGCAGCACAGTGCCAGGGCAGATGGTCATGAGCGTTTTCATGACGAAGCGGGTGTTGAAGTTGATCTTGTTGAGGGCCCCGATGCTGCGGGATGAGGCATCAGTGAAGAGCTTGCTGTGCAGCAGCATGACTCGGGCGATCAGGTACAGGCGCAGGAACATGGGGATAGACAGGATGATGTCCACGTCGGCCTCCGCCCGGGAGGGTGTGTAGGAGAAGGCCAGGCGCGCTGTCCAGAAGAACTTGTACTCTCCAGGAATGGGGTGGATGGCGCACACCAGCATCTCCAGGCTGATGTAGAGGATGCGCTCGTAGGTCATGGCTATCCGCCAGTCATCCGCGCCATTGTCAATCACGAAGAGCTGGTGGGAGCAGAGAGTCTGTTAGTGTAGCCAGGACCCGGAGGTGCACAGCAGGGCTCAGGCAGGACAGATGGGGCAGGCTCCTGGGCTCAGGTCAGCCTGACCACCTCAGCATGCTCTTTAGAGGCCTCGCTGTGTGGCAAGAGCCCTGGATGGGGACTAGGAAGCCTGGATTCAGGTCCAGCTGGGAGGCCCTGGCTGAGACACTTTGACTCTCTAGGCCTCACTTTCCTCCTCTGCAAATCGCTTCCTGAGATAGAGTGATTTCTAATAAGAAATCATACATTTGGTCTTCATCCTGCTTTAGGCACAGCTCCTAAAACCCTAGGAATTTCCAAAGTGGTGAGTGTCTTGTGTTTGCTAATCAGAAAACAAGTAAGTGTCTGGGGTGGAGGGTGGGAATCCAGGGTAGCTCCAGGATGGGCGCTGGTTGTCAGGGGAACCGATCTGGCGATGAGAAGGTTGGAACTTTCAGCCCCACCCCCCACTCCCTGGGCGGGAAGAGGGACCCGAAGCTTGAGTTGATCACCAGCGGCCAATGATGACATCAATTATGTCTGTGTGATGAAGCTTCCATAAAATCCCAAAAAGGCAGTGTTTTTGTTAACTTCTATTTTAGGTTCAGGGATGCATGCGCAGGTTTGCTATACAGGTAAACTCGTGTCGCAGAGGTTTGTTGTACAGATTATTTTGTCACCCAGGTACTAAGCCCAGTACCCAATAGTTATTTTTTCTGCTCCTCTCCCTCCCACTCTCTACCCTCAGTGTCTGTCATTCTCCCCTTTGTGTTTTGATGAGCTTCCAGACAGCTGGACACATGGAGGTCCCTGGACACCTAGAGGGTTGGGTTCCCATAGAGGGCATGGAAACTCCACCCCTTCCCACACACCCTGCCCTCTGCTTCGCTCCCATATGGCTGCTCATCTGAATCCTTTGTAAAGTCCTTTATAATAAAGCAGTAAATATGTTTCCCTGAGTTCTCTGAGCTGCTCTAGAGAATCAGTCAAGCCTGAGAAGGGCATCCTGTGAACCCCTGATTTACTGCCACTTGGTGAGAGGCTCAGGGCAAACAACCTGGGGCTGGTGACCGGCATTGGAAGGGGGGCCAATGTGGTGGGACTGAGCCCTCAGCCCAGGGGAGCCAACACTCACTCCCGGCAGACAGAGCCAGGGTGGAGTCACACTGCAGGACACGCAGCCAAGTGTCCCCTGGAGAACTGCTTGGTGTGTGGGAACCAACCCCTCCTTTTTGCTGACCACAAGTGTTCTATGTTGAGCCACTTTCAAGGTTCCCTCCAGGACACAGGTGCCAAATGGGCTGTTTCATGATGGTGAGAAAGATCAACTCATTTGTATTAAAAACACACCCCTGAGCCCCTTTCAGACCTGAGCTGAGCCCTGGAAGGGGATGTGAAGATGAAAAAGTCATGTTTCCTGCATGAGTGAACTCACAAGGGCTGGCACGGATTTCTCCTCCCCACTCAGAGAAGGGGCAGCAAGTGTTTGCTGGCAGAGCTGTGCTCTTAGGCGGCGCAGTGAAGTGTTCGTGGCACGGACTCTGGAGCCAGACTGCCTAATCCTAATGCTACTGGCACTGTGGTCCTGGGCAAGTTACCAAACCTCCCTGTGCCTCAGTCACCTCAGCTGGGGACGATGATGATAACCACCGCACAGAGGTCGCTGTGAGGCCGCAGTGGGTTCGCACAGGCGACACGCGTGGAATCCTGCCTAGGCCCCAGCATGCTATGTCACCATTAGCTATTCTTAGTTTTAGCATTATTAATGGATGTGGCCTCAGTCTCTCTATAAAATGACAGTTGGGCTCAGTGATATCTAAGCTCCCTTCTAGCCCTAACCTTTCACGAAAATGCTTCCTGCTGTCACATCATGAGGATGCCGGTCCACACAAGAACCGACTGAGCACCTGTTATGCGCCCAGCCTTTGCCTTCGGGCAAGTCCCACTGCCGGGTCCCACCACATTTGATGACTGTGAAAGGGACTTCACATCCTTCCCCTCTGTGGCCTCAGTCTTCATCCGAGACTGAAATGAGAGACTTCTAAGGTCTTCTCCAGCTGGGATGGTTGGATTCTTGGAGGGTGAGGCCTGAGATCCAGGCATATGTTCAGTGTGGGCCTCCTGTGCATGTGTGCACCTCACTTCTGAGAGGGAGTGGAGTATTTATCATCACATTCTGTCCTCTCTCTACCGGGCCCTTGGCCCGCCAGCAGATCTGGCTGTCGCCTGTCCCAGCTCAACCACAAACACATGCCACTCGAGACCCCAGCCTCATATGCTGCCTGTTCCACCGACAGCCACAGACAGCTGCTGCTCTCCAAAGCTGCTTACGTTTGCCTTTAAGGAGGGGAGGGCAGGGTCCTGTGGCCTAACATGAGCTCAGGAAAAAGGGCACCAGCATCAGCACCTCCTGGCGGGGAGAGCAGCTCATGCGCGCGTCCCGGGAAGGCCTGAGCTGCAAGGCTGGAAAGAAACTAGGCTGGGTTAGGGGAAATTAATGTTGGGGCAAGGGTTGGGTGGAGGTTTTATTTAGCCTGGAAATACAACCTCAGCACAGAAAGAGTAACAGAGAGCTGGGCGCGGTGGCTCACACTTGTAATCCCAGCACTTTGGGAGGCCGAGGCAGGCGGATCGCCTGAGGTCAGGAGTTCGAGACCATCCTGGCCAACATGGTGAAGCCCCATCTCTACTAAAAACGCAAAAATTAGCTGGGTGTCGTGGTGCATGCCTATAATCCCAGCTACTCAGGGGGCTGAGACAGGAGAATAGCTTGAAGCCAGGAGGTGAAGGTTGCAGTGAGCCAAGATCACGCTGTTGAACTCGGCCTGGGTGACAAGAGCAAGACTGTCTTTAAAAAAAAAAAAAAAAAAGTAACAGAGAGACTGGATCAGCATGGATTTGTGGGGGCTGAAAGCTGAGTGAAGCCTCCTTTCCTCCCTTGCACAGGGAGGTCAGGGAATGAGGGGCCCTTTATTCTGTCCATCCTTGACGGGCCAAAGGAAGCTTCTGCTCTGTTTCAAAGTTAGTCACCAAGCAGCTTTCTCTCTTCACTTTGCTGCCTTCCTTACAGTTCAGCAGGAATCGAGGACCCAGGAGAGGACCTATGGTACCAGGCCTGGTGTCGGGTGAGTGATGCTTGCCTTGCCTTTAGCATCTACCTGTGATATATTTCTGCAGCAAGGGGAACATTCCAGGCAATTCAGTGGGGCCTGAGAGCCATGGGCAGGAGAGGGAGCACTAGGAGGCAACCCTCTCACCTGCCGAGCCTCGGTTTCTCCTTCTTCCTGCTCTGTACCCCCACAGAGCCATAATGGGGAACAAAGGAGTCAATGGGTTAAAAGGGCTTCATAAACTACAAAGTATCATTTGTTCATTCATTTACTCATTCATTCATTCCACAAACGTGTTGACGCCCTTAGTGATGTGGGAGGGGATTCAGAGTTGCATAAAACAGCTCTGAGCAGCCCCCCACCCACCCACCCACCCATGGGGATCCTGAGGGGAAACTAGAGGGCTCTATGGGAGCAACTGGCTGAGAGGCTCACCTGGTGGTTCTAATCAGGGAGCTGTCATCTCTGAACAGGAGACAGTACTCAGCACAGCACCAGCTGGAGACTCACCCTCCTCCTTCCCCAGTGCAGCTGAGCCTGGGTTTTTCCAGACACAGGTTTCCCCAGCAATTAGAAAGCCCTAATGGCTGCTCAAAGGGTTCCCTGTGCTTCTGACTCGCGCCCGACAGGCCAAGCCATGGCAACGTGACTGCCTGGCCAAACTCTTCAAATACAAAATTAAAACCATCTACTCTGTACTAAAGAATTGCATCCAGTTACTATAGTAACTGGGTTCACTCTGGGCAGGAATGGAAGCAACGAGTAACAGATTCCTTTGATTGCCTGATGAGGAGCGGCACTGTAAGCTGTCAGAACGAAGGGGAGAACGCGATGGCAGCTCTGCCCAGTGCGACAGAAGGGTGCTGGTCCCCAGGGGGTGTCCCCAGCTGCCTCTCAGGCACCCAGCCCAGCCTCGGTTGCAGCTTGCTGGTACAGGGAAGGTGGGGGCCACACGGGGTAGTGGAGCTGGAGGTGGGAGAGCTAGCTTGAAGTCTCCCACATCCAGCTGTTAGCCATGTGATCTGAAGCCATTCCATGACGGCTCCGAGCTTGTTTCCACATCTCCAACAGGGGAATATTGACCTTGGCCCTGCCTACCTCATGGGGTTAGTGTTAGGATCCAGTAATACAGATAAAAAGTTGGACAGTGCATCACTAACTACTCTAAAAATATGAGGGGTTAAGACGGCTGGCCTAGAGGACACGCATAAACAGCGTGTATAAAGAGGGGGTGTTTTGAGTAGGGGGTAGGGGGAGAGTTTTCAGGTTGCAGATTAAAAGCCTCTGCTGGACAGGGTTTTATGCATCTGCAGGGTGGGACATGTTCCAGAAGACCCCATTGCTGTCCTGTGTGACGGCACTCTATGTTTTCTCCCTTCTGACCCCTGGAATCCCTCGCTCCCTCCCGGTTCAGAGCAGGTGGCAGATCCCCACCCTGCTGTTTCCTCACTGCATTCCGTTCATTCCTAACAAAGCACAATCCCAATTATTATTGATTTGCGTTTGTGAGGTTTCTGCTGTCTCTCCCCTTAAACGTGGTTCCCAACCTACTCACATCGCACATTGAAATGACTTGGGGAACTTGTTCAAAAATACCCATGCCCAGGCCCACCCCACACCAAGTCAATCAGAATCTCTGGGGGTGGAGCCCTGACCATGGGGTTTTTCTTAAGACTCCCCAGTGAGTCTAAAGTGTCACCAGGGTTGGGCATCCCCCCACCCCCAGTCACAGTTGGAGCTCCAAAGAGACAAGGGCTGTGTCTTCCCTGTTCCATGTGGCATCTCCAGAGCCTAGCCCAGGTCTTAGCACTTAGTAGGTGTTCAATAAATCTTTGTTTAGTGAATTAATAACTCGACTTACTGTCTGCCCCTA